TGTTGAGAATTTTCTGTTTAGCTCTGTACATTTTTCAACTGGGCCATTTTGCATTTTAATGTCTATTTTCTTGAGTTCCTTACAAGTTTTGGAGATCAGCCCTCTGTCAGATGTGGGGTTGGTGAAGATCTTTTCTCATTCTGTAGGCTGTCACTTTGTCTTATTGACAGTGTCCTTAGCCTTACAGATGCTTTTCAGTTTCAGGAGGTCCCATTTATTGATTGTTGCTTTCAGTGTCTCTGATACAGGTGTTATATTTAAGAAGCGGTCTCCAATGCCAATGTGTTCAAGGCATTTTCCCACTTTCTCTTCTATGAGAGGTTGAGTGTGGATGGTTTTATGTTGAGGTCTTTGATCCATTTGGACTTCAATTTTGTGCATGGAAATAGATATGGATCTAGGGAGGAGGTGGGGGTGAAAAGAGGTGAGGGGGTTAAAGGGAAGACTGTAGTTAGAATGTAAAATGAAATTTTAAAAATCAAAAAAATGGAAAACAAAGGAATACAAACAAGTGGTAACTAACAGACTGAATTATTTTCTACTTATTAAGAAAGGTATTAATAATAGGAAAATCAATCCAGTTAAATTAATGATTCAAATGGAATGTTCAAAGAGAAAATGAATGAAAAATCTCTTTGAGAAGTAGTTATATCAGAGACTTCCCTTCCCATATGTAAAGCAAGGTACTTTTACTTTTCAGAGTGTCAGAAAATGGCAGTGCTCTGGACTGAGGTACTGAGAAGTACCATCAAAACTAAGGGCAGGAATCGGATTTTAGTACTGGGAGAAGTTTGAAACTTCTACAAATGGTTATTAGTGCTTCCTCCATACCAAAAACTTCAAAATGCCAGGTACCTCATTTTTAATTCTTTCCTTCCTATCCACTGACCTCATTATTGAATTCCTCTCTGGAGAATGACATGGATCCATGAGAAAACTTACAAATACAGATTTTTGGTCCTAAAACAAATTGTTTCCCCTTAAGTTAAGGTTGACTACTCAACTAGTCCCAACCAAATACAGGATATCTAATAACCATTCACTTCTATAAAACAAGTAAAAACCAGTCAGCCAGAGTGTGATAAGGAAACTAACATGAGGATAGAGGTTTGAAAAATAAAGAATAATAACTTAAAAAAGCCATTGAAGTACTTTGAAAACTTAAAACAATACTTTTGTGGAGTATCAGAAAATATTTGATTTCTGTAATAAAATAAGATAAAAACTTCAGACAAATTAGCAATACAAATTTAAAGTTTAAAACTGTAAAACAGTGTTATGAAACATTGACCTCAAGTGTAAAATTAAGAAACCCTTAGGAGAAATGGTATAATCCTCATGATTTTTCATTAGTGATTTCTAAAATATGAAACCTAAAATACAGGCCATCAAATAAAAATCAAAATATTGTGTTTACCAAAATAATGTTTTCTTCAAAGGACATTATCCACAAAGTAAAAGGATAACACAGAACATGAGAGAATTATTCATAAAACATCCATAGATTATTTGATAAAGCTTCACTTTAAACTGCATTACTGTATTCAATACATAGGAATGTCATCATAGAATATATTCAAGAGGCCAATAAGCACATGGAAATACTCTCAATGCTGTAGTCATATGGGAACTGTAAATTAAAACATAGTAAGATGCTGCTGCACACATAGGATGACAACAATAAAAAATAAAACAGAATATGGAGAAATTTATTTCTCTATACATTGTTGGTAGGAATGTAAAAATGGCATTCTCTTAATAATCCAAAAGATATTACTAGCCAGACTGTGGTGGCAGACACCTTTAATCCCAGCACTCTGGAGGCAGAGGCACGTGGATGTCTGTGAGTTTGAGGCCAGCCTGTTCTACAGAGTGAGTTCTAGGACAGCCAAGGTTACACAGAGAAACCATATCTTAAACAAACAAACAAAGATATTGTCACTTTGTAACACAGCAATTCTAATCATAGGCATATGTCAAAAGAATTGAAAACATATGTGCAAAACACTTCTTATACATAAGTCTTCATAGCATCATTATTTATAATATCCAAAGTTTCTTATGTCTATTGAGAGAAGTATGGTACATTCATCCAGTATAATATAACTCACACAAATGAGTAAAGTTCTGATATATGTCATAACAGGCTGGACCTTGAAAACATTATGCTGAGAGAAACCAGACACAAAATGCTACATATTATATGATTTCATGTATGTGAAATGTACCGAATGAAAAAGTTCAAAGATATAGGCAACTGATCAGCAGAACATTGTGTGTGTGTGTGTGTGTGTGTGTGTGTGTGTGTGTGGTCTATTAATTGACAACGAGTTCATTTTAGGGGTGATGAAAGCATTCTCAGTTTTGATAGTGGTAATAATTATGAACACTTGTATACATATATGCATACCACTAGAATTAATATAATAACATATTAATTAGATATCACCAAAACTTTTAAATCTTAAAGGTTTCTATAAAAAGAATGAGCTTTTTGAAAGCAAAACTATGATATCAGAGACTGAAATTTTAATCAGAAGAATAAAAAAATAGCTGGAAAAGATCCACATTCTGGTAAAAATCAAAACAAAACATAGCAGTAGAACAAAGAAAGGAAAAATTAAGCTGTATGTGGTGACACTACTATGTAATCCCAGCACTTGGTAGGCTGAAGTGAAATCTCAAATTCAATGCCACCATGGCCAATGAAGTGAGTTTGAGGACACCCTAGGGTATATTAAACCATATATTAAAATAAAGAAACAGAAAATTTAAACATTAAGCAACTTACTTTTGAGCAATCAATTAATCAAAAATTAAAATCAAGAAAAATTCTATCAAATGAAAATGAGCACAACACTCTAAAATCTATGAGGTACAGCAAAAGCAGTACTAAGATAGGAATTTATAGCTCTAAAATGAACAGTCTGTCATTGTGTTTCAAGGGACCAAGAGGACAAGAACAAACCAAGTTCAACATTAATAGATGAAAACAACTATTAGGGTAGAAACAAACAATCAAGAGGCTGAATAACCCACAAAAAATAAATACAACCAAGAACAGTTCTTCACTAAAAGGAAAAAAGAAAAACAAAAAAATCAAAGATGAAAATGAAGACATTGCAATTCACACTACAAAAAACATAAAGGATGGTGAGAAAATATAATGAACAGACATGTGGCAACTAATTTTATGACCTAGACAAATTTTTGAAGAAACTTGGCAGACAATAATAAGTGTCAGTTATTTAGAAGTCTTTTATCAAAGAAAAGAAAAGAAAAGAAAAGAAAAAAAGCCAAATGGCTAAGTGGCTAAACTACTGAATTTCACCAGATATTTAAGTATCTATTACTTAATTGATATTAGTTCTCTGTGTGTAGCCACCAATGGCCACCAAAAGAGGGCACTGGGTCTCCCTGTAGCTGGGATTAAAGTCTATTGTGAGCCAGTAGACATGGGTGCTAGGAACTCAACTGGGGTCTTCAGAAGAATATTTGTTCTTAAGCACCAAGTCATCTTTCCAGCGCCTGATAGTTTTAATTACATAAGTTTATTGCAACTCACGTTTAAGTCCTATTCATATGAAGAGTTTACTCACGTATTCTGTGTTTGTTTGTTTTGATGTAGGGCACTGGATCCAGGGCAACATGCATGCTAAGCACATGTCCTTTCACTGAGTTGCACCCCCAAACTCCAGTAGATATATTTTAGAATAATGACGACTTAATGGAAATTTTCTGGTGAAAGCATACTAATGTGTCTTCTTTGTACTTAGTCTATATGTAGTAATTATGAGGATTATATCATGTTAAAGGAATGAGAATGAATATCTACACACCAAAATCATTTATGGAAAATATAGCACAAGTGTACCATTAAGTCTATCACTTTGTGGTAAACCAAAGTTTTTTCAGAATGCCAAAAGATGGCTTAATTAAATTTTATTTATTTTGAAAGAAAATACCCCATTTAAAAAACATAATCCTGATTAACCAATGGTTCATTTGAAGAAAAACAAAATTAGGGTTTTTGAGACCAGATGACAGATTCATAGGATTTATATGATCATGAAAATGTTCACATAATTGGTAAGTATTTTTAAAATTGAAAGCCATAATTTACAATAGCGTTAAATTCACCCCAATGATAAGCATAGCTTTTGAAACACGAGTCCTTTGATTACAAGAAATCAATCCACAGGCTCAAGTACTGGGGATCTGAGAACATCTGTGACATTTTTACAGTGTAATAAAAGTTATACCATCAGGAAAGAATATTTTGCAGCTACTTTGCGCACTTGAGCGTAAGCTGGCTAACAAAAATGCAAGGGATTGTCGACAATTAGAAACAGCTATATATATGACTATTAGTAACATGCTAATTCTCTCTTTACAATGAGCGAAAAGATGGTAAACTACATATGCATTAGTGGAGACTGTAATTTATCACACAAGGTCAAAGTACGACTTCTAGCTAAACCCCAAATGATCACTAAAATTAGAATTTACCTCGCTGTTCCTATAAGCCCCTTCATTCAAGAAGTTGGGAAGTACTGGTTTAAGAAATTTGAACTCATTTGTCTTAGTGCCTCCTGTAAAACACACCTCATACTGGTAGCTCTGTGACAGGGTCCCTGCACCACTGACATCCACCAGGTGGCCAGGAAAGGGGCCCTCCTGAGCAGAGCAGCCACCCAGAGAGGCTGCCCTGGCCCTCCTGCACAGCCTCCCTCACCCCCCCAAACAGCAGCACAGACAAGAGAAAGAGCAAGGACACAGATGCCAAAGCAATGACCAGGTACAGAGTGAGTGAGTCTTCCTCCTGGGCCAAGTCGCGCGCCACCCTCAGGAAGAGGCAGGTAGGGCTGAGAGAAGCCATCCACCACCAGCACATGCAGAGTGACACTGGCAGACCTCTGAGGATCGCCATTGTCCTTGACCACCAGCAGCAGCCTGTGCTTGGGAGCATCGCGCTCGCTCAGCAGCCTGGCAGTACGCACCTCGCCATTGTGAGCCCACACGCTGAACAGCCCTGGCTCTGTGGCCTTGAGTAGTTGGAATGACAGCCAGGCATTCTGGCCAGAATCGCGATCCACTGCCACCACCTTGGTGACTAGGTAGCCTGGCTCTGCCGCCCTGGGCAGCAGCTCAGTGCAGGCGCAGAGGCATTCTGCAACGGGTAGAGCACGAAGGGCGCATTGTCGTTAGCATCCAGCACAAGCACATGCACCAAAGCCTGGCTGCTGAGTGCAGGCGAACCTTGGTCAGTGGCGCCCACGTGGAACTCGAAGGTCTGCAGGGACTCATAGTCCAGAGCCCTGAGCGCAAACAGCTGTCCGTTGTCTGCATTGATGGAGATGAGCGAGGAGAGGGCCAGCTGCGGGTCGTGGGTGGGCAGCAGCGAGTAGGTGATGTGGGCATTGGAGCCTGAGTCTGAGTCTGTGGCGCTGATGGTGCCTATGTGCAGGGCGGGGCTGTTGTTCTCCTGGACAAACAGGGTGTAGGAGGTTTGTGTGAAGGCGGGGGGCGTTGTCGTTGACATCGGACACCTGCACTGTTATGGTGTACTGGGTTGTGAGCCTGGGTGTGCCCATGTCGGTGACTGTGATGGTGATGTTGTACTCAGCTCTGCTCTCTCTGTCCAGAGCTCCTTCTGTTACCAAGGTGTAGAAATGTTCTTCAGTAGGTTTCAAGAGGAAGGGAAGATGGTCTTGGATGGAGCAAACCATTTTCCCGTTCTCTCCAGAGTCTGGATCTGAAATTCCAAAGATCGCCACTACAGTTTCAGGAGCGTTTTTCTGAATGTCACTGATAAGCAATGACATGCTGAGTGCAGGCGCGTTGTCATTTACATCTGTCACATCTATTACTACCGTGCATTTTCCTGAAAGACCTCCCCCATCAGAGGCCTCGATTTCCATGTGATAAGACTGAATTTCCTCAAAGTCCAATGGTTTTCCTATTCTAATTTCTCCGGTGTCTGTATTTATTTCAAAAGCCTGAAGAACTTGATTTGAAGCTTGAAAAGCGAGTAGGACAGCTCCCCATTTGTCCCAGCGTCTAAATCTTTTTGGACACAGTGAGGACAAGTGAGCCCACGGGGCTGTTCCCCTTGTACCTGCACCTCATAGAGCCCTTGGGCAAATTCTGGGGCATTGTCATTAATGTCCAGAACCATGACGAGAACCTGGGTAGTCCCAGTCTTTGGGGGTGACCCACCGTCCTGAGCTGTGAGTGTTAGTCTAACCTCTGCCTGCTTCTCCCTGTCCAGTGCGTTGTTCAGCACCAGCTCAGGGTATTTCCTGCCATCGTTGTGATTGCGGGTGAGAAGGTGGAAATAGGAGTTGATGCTGATGGTATAGTTCTGAACCGTGTTGCTACCCACGTCCAAATCTTGAGCTATTTTCAATGGAAACTTGGCCCCTGGATGGCTGCTTTCCACGATTTTAAGGAGAATTTCATCTTGCAGGAATTCTGGGGCATGATCGTTAACATCTCGGAGCTGTATTTCCCCTTGAATAAATTGCACTGGGCTTTTAGTAACACCTGAAAATGTAGGATGCATGGCTCCATGGTCCCACATAACTCCTCCCGATCCAATTTTTCTTTCAGAACCAAATTTCCACTCTTCTGTTCCAGCTGCAAGAGCTGTTTGTTCCCTTTGTTAAGAATCTGAGCGCCCCTGGTGACCAGATCCCTTAAGCCCAATCCCAAATCTTTTGCTAGGTTGCCCACCAAAGAACCCCTGTCTGTTTCCTCTAGAACCGAATACTTAATGGTCGCACTGCCTGCCTCCCACAATAGTAACATAAAGACAATGGCGGTCACTTGCCTTTTCAGTAGAGCCTTGTGGAGTGGTGTCTCCATCATTCCTCGGGGCCAAAAGATGCAGCAGCTACTCATACTGTGAACAACTCAGGAATCTTGGCTCAATAATTTTGGGCTTCTTTTCTGTTTAACGTTGCTGGACACGGTGTGTCTGCCTCTCAGAAGGGGTCTATCGGCAGAAATGTAAAAAAAACTTCCTTCCTAGGCGGCGGCAAGAAATGGCTCTGCTTTTTACCCGCAGGCTTTCTGCAGGTTTTCGTTTTCTTAACCTGCAGCGCCACCAAGCGTTCTGTTTTACAACTTCAGATAATGTTTCAAAGTGCCTCTCTTTAAGGGCTAAAATGCCCACCTTTCGGGTCAAAATGTTCTGTTCTCTCTTTTCTCGCTCCTTTCTCCCTAAGCTTCATTTTGGAAGCCTTGCTATAGATAATCCGTGTTAGAAAAATATGTTTCTTCCTCATAAAGTTACAAACTCGTACAGAAATCTCTGCAGAGACTGTCATTCATTTAACAATTGCTTTTCTGTATAGGTATTCAGTTTCTGATCATAACGCCATGGAGGAAACACATTTTTTTTTTTTTTTTGCTCTTGGAAGAGCAAAAGAATTCTATTATAAAAATTGATATTTTTTCTGTTTGTAAGTACAAAATTATTTTTAAAATTACAACTTCTAACTAGCAACTGCCAATGTGCTTATAACTCATGAAGGGAAACAAAAAGGCAAGTTTTGTTTGTTTGTTTTTCCTCTCTATAGGGGACAGTCTTAGGACCTTTCCTTTGTAAGGAAATGTAAGGTCATATATGTTATGACCAATAAAATTGAATGGAGATGCTCACTTGTTTTATAAGTAGCCAGTCTGGCTAAGAGTTCAACTGTCTTTTCTACAAATATGAAAAAGATAATGAAGTCAATAAAGTAAAAATGATTCTTTCTGGGGAAGGATTTGACCTATGTGCCTTGAGTAGGGGATCTTTGGGCTGTGGAAACTGTGTAACTGAAAAACACTGAAGTTCCAACAAGAGCTGTGTGAAAGAAACCGCCCCCCCAAGAATAAGGATGCTATTTGAGGGACAGGGCAAGTATTCCATAATCCCAAAGAGCAAATGTTTCCTTTGGCCATTATAGTTCACTTTGATTAAGGTTAACAGTAAAATATATACCCATCACCTTAAGATAATTTATCTTCCTTGATAGAAATTTGAAAAGAATATTTTTCAAAGGATAATGGCAACTATAACCTACAAAACATGACTGAATATAAATGTCTTTGTAGTTAATAAATGATATTAATAGAATGTTAGAAAAGAATTGTGGATACTTGAGAAAAGGAAGGTAAAATTTGGAAAATATAACTTTGAATTTGACAAAATAACTTTAAACTCTTAAATTGTTAGACAAAAACAAGATAAGATAAAATGTGCTCTCCTGAAATTTATGCTCAACAAAATGTGGCATGTGTAGAAAGATGCTTTCTATATTGAAGGAAAAAAGATAATCTCAGTAAGCAATATTGTTTAAATTTTTAGCTAATTGTAATTAAAATAAAAATTTCACTCATTTACAAAGCACATTGGAGAGATATTAGTATTTTTGTAGAATGTGTATATTTCTAAAAAACTGTTGGATGTTTCAGCAAATATTTATTCAGCATTTGTAAATAATTTGATGCTAAAAGACCATACTATTCTTACAGAAGGTTCACAAACTATTGATAGCTTAGTAAAATCTATATTTAAGAAATATGTAACTTTCCCCATGGAGGGATAGTCCCTTAACCTAGAGACAGGAGAAAGGGGCTAGTCCCTACTCCAAATGACTTGACAGATTTGAGATGACCCCCTCCTGGCAGGCACCATGCTACATGTGGAGTGGGAGTGGGTAGGGGGGGGGTGGTTGGGGGCATGGGAGGTTGGGAGAGAGGGAAGAGGGAAGGAAGGAGAGGGAACTGGGGTTGTTATGCAAAATAAAAAAGAAAAAAGTAAAAAAGAAATATGTAACTATTAAAATAAACTAAAACATAATTATACATAAATAAGGCATGTGTCTTAGCACTTAGATTTCCTTTACTTCCTATATTTAGAGGTGCACATGATAACTAGCTACCCTAAAAATGAGACTAAATTTGCAAAATTCAGTAACATCAAACATCCCCACTGTAAACCAATAGGGAAATTAATCACTTGTTTGAAATGCAATCACAAGGGTTACACATATATAATATTTTTTAAAACATTATTTGATTTCAAATTTTACTGAAAAAATACTTTTAGGTTGTCAAATGCAGGTTAGTGCCACTAATTTAAAACAACTGTATTATATTAGAGAGGTTTGTGTGAATTCCACAAACTGACTACTTAGAAATACAGTATTGGCTGGGTAGTGATGGCTCACCTTTTTAATCCCAGCAATAGGGGAGAAGAGGCAGGCGATCTCTCTGAATCGAAGGTCATGCTGATCTACAGAGATAGTTACAGAATAACCAGGGTTACACAGAGAAATCCTGTCTTTTAAAAAGTGCAACTCAAGAATAATAGCAACATGGGCAGGCCTGATGAGAGAGGTCTTTAATCATAGTACTAATTAGACAGAGGCAGGTGGGTCTGTCTGTGTTTCAGGTCAGCCACTCCTGCATAGAAACATTCAGACCACCACATTGTACTAAGTGAGACCATGTCTCAAAATTTGAACAAATAAGTAAATTGGAAAGTTTGGCAATTTAGCTCTGTGATTGAGTTTTCCTAACATGAAGGAGATACTGGATTCCAGTTCCAGGACCTGTTATACAATGTAATACTATAAGGTTCATACAACATCAATAGCATGCACATTCAGTTTAAAAGAAAGCTCTTAGCTTAAACAGAATTTTACTACTGTACTACAGTATTTAGATGAACAGGAAGCTATTCCAAAGGGTAGGACTTTCCCTCAGTTTTCCTTTCAGACTCCAAGGAGGGAAACTGCAGTACTTTTGCCTTTAGAAATTAGAACCCACCAGTCCCAGACGCTCCCTCAGGCACACCCCTACACTGGTAGCTCTGGGACAAGGTCCGGCACCATTGATATCCACCAAGTGACCAGGAAAGTGACCCTCAGGAACAGAGCAGCCACCCAATGAGGAGGCCCTGGCCCTCCTGCACAGCCTCATCCTACAAACAGCAGCACAGACAAGAGGAAGAGCGGACACTGAAGCCAAGGCAATGACTGAGCAGAGTGTGAGCATTTCCTTGTCGTCATGCTCAGGGTCACTTGCCACCTCGGGTAGAGGTGGAAGGGCTGAGAGAAGCCATCCACCACCAGAACATGCAGAGTGACACTGGCAGACCTCTGAGGACCGCCATTGTCCCTGACCAGCATAGCAGCCTGTGTTTGAGAGCCGCCGCGCCTCACTCAGGAGTCTGGAGGTGCGCACCCGCTATTGTGAGCCCACACGGTGAACAGCCCTGGCTCTGTGGCCTTGAGTAGCTTGAACGTATAGCCAAGCATTCTGGCCAGAGTCATGGTCCACTGCCACCACCTTGGTGATCAAGTAGCCAGGCTCCGCCTGCACCCTGGGCAGCAGTAGCTCAGTGCAGGGCGAGGTGGCTGCTCTGCAGAGGGTAGAGCACGAAGGGCGCGTTGTCGTTGGCATCCAGCACAAGCACGTGCACCAGGGCCTGGCTGCTGAGTGCAGGCAGTCCTTGGTCAGTGGCTTCCACGCGGAACTCAAAGGTCTGCAGGGCCTCCATAGTCCAGGAGCTCTGAGCGCAAACAGCTGCCGGCGTTGTCTGCATTGATGGAGATGAGCGAGGAGAGGGCCAGCTTCAGGTCGGGTGTTTTGTATTGAAGCAGGTGATGTGGGCATTGGAGCCTGAGTCTGAGTCTGTGGCACCAGATGGTGCCTATGTGCAGGGCGGGGCTGTTGTTCTCCTGGACAAACAGGGTGTAGGAGGTTTGTGTGAAGGTGGGGGCATTGTCATTGACATCGGACACCTGCACTGCTATGGTGTGCTGGGTTGTGAGCCTGGGTGTGCCCATGTCGGTGACTGTGATGGTGATGTTGTACTCCGCTCTGCTCTCTGTTCAGTGCCCCGTCTTGTTTCCAAAAGTGGCATAGAAATTTCTCTGTGGATGGTCTTACAAGAAATGGAAGATTGTCATCTATGGAACACATAACCTCCTGGTTATTTTCTGAGTCTGCATCTGAAACACTGAATACTGCCACTATGATGCCTGGCAAATTTTCTGGGGATGGGGGCTGTTGAGTGAGGATAGGATCACTTATTGAGCATTGTCATTCACATCCAATACCTGCACGACTAAAGAGCACTTTCCGGTTAGCCCACCACCATCTATTGCCTCAATACCCACATGGTAGGACTGGAATACTTCAAAATCCAAAGTGCTTCTCAGTCATCTTCCTGCCCTTGTGTCTATTACAAAAGGCTCGTTAACATCATCATCTTGAAACAGTAGCAGAAACCCCTCCAAAGGTTCCTGTATCTTAAATCTCTTGCTGAGACAGTGATAAGCAGTGTGCCAATGGGGTTGTTCTCTGGAACTTGGACCATAAAACTCCTGACCAAATTCAGGAGTGTTGCTGTTTGTATCTAAGACAAGTATTTGAATTCCATGGTCCCTGACCTGGGAGGAGACCCGCCATCCAGTGTTGTGAGCATTAGTCTGGAGCTGAGCCTGGTCCCCTGTCCAATGCCTTGTCCAACACTGTTCAGGAAATTTCTTGCCACTCTGCTGCGGTTACAGTGAGTACGTGGGAAGTGATGGTTGTCGCTGACAGTGTAGCTCTGAATGCTGTGGTTGCCAGTGTCTAGGTCCTGCGCTACTTTCAGCTGGGAGTATCTTTCCAGGAGCAGTTATTTCTGATATTTTAAGGAGCACCTCTCTGGCTGGGAACCTGGGGCGTGGTCATTTATATCTGTAACTCTCAGGGCAGCCTGATAAAACTGCAAAGGATTGTTTAGTAACACCTGGAAAGGCAGCATACAAGGTTCAGTGGAGCCACATAGCTCTTCCCTGTCCAGCTTTTCATTGAGCACCAAATCTTGGGTCTGTGGGTCAAGCTGCAAATACTGCCTGTTCCCTTGAAAACC